TTCCATTCGTCTGTTTTTGTATTATTTTGATCTTTTGTTGGAACACTCGGAGGAAAATCTTGTTGAGATTCATTAAATGTAGTACTGGATGAAGTTTCAGGTTTATAAGTTTTAATTTGTTCAAACTTGCTTATATCATTTGGTTCCATATCTAATATCGAATTGTTTTGCGTCTGTATTGCAGATAGAGATGATGTATCATTTGAGTCAAAAACTTCTGTGGGCAATTTATTTCTGACATCTCCGACCAGTCCAATACCAAGTATTGAAGTCAACTTCTTGCGTAAAATGTTCATGATTGAAGGATCAATACTATTTAAATAGTCTTCAAGTGATGTTAAATCAATTGGATCCGTTTGGACTTCTACATCACAAAATGCTTTGCCTGACCACTCTTGATAATTGGTAGTGAACGAAGACTCGACTTGTTTCAAATGATCATTCTTGTTATGGGATTCTAAAAAAAAAGGTTATGCTTAAAAATTAAGAAGATATATTCTATATGAATTACGAAGGTGACCTACCAACTACGTACCTAACATTAAATCTTGAATTAAAGTTTGATCAGTCTCCTGGAGAATTTCAGGGGGGACCGAATTTGAATGATCATTTAGGTCATATTCCTCAAATTGTTTACGCTCATTATGTTTTAATGTTGTAAAAGAGTTATGGATCACCTCCTGCATAGCAAGAGTCTTCAAAATAAGCAAACGTTAAAACGACCTGATATAAAACACATGATTTCAACATAGTTAGAAACATACAGATAAATCATCAGACTCCATCTCCATCGGGTCGATTGAATTATAATTTTTTGAATGTTGATCAACAGATCTGGCACGTATGGTGTTATATTTCAAAGATCCATCATTTGCGTCATTTTTCTTTTCCCATGAACCCTCAGAACGACCTTTACCACCCCACGGATCTTTATCAGATTTTTTATGTGAACGATTATCTTCAGATGGAGACAACCTCTTTCTATTCCAACTATTATTTTCGCAGAGAAAAGGTTGTTTCTTCCATTGATCATCACGATCATGAATTGAGGCTGGTGGGTTGCTTGTTACCCATTCAACTTCTTCCTGAGGGGGCACTTGCTTTATCATATTATCATCTTTATGAAAAGGTTGGCTTGTTACCCATTCATCTTCAGGAGTAGGGATTTGTTTTATAATATGGTCATTTTCACGATCCTGAGAGGAGATCGGTGGACCGCTTGTAACCCATTCATCATCGTCAGATAGGGAACTTTGTTTTATCACGCGATTATCTTCTTGATCTTGCGGAGGTGTCTGCCTCCTTTCCATTACGTCATCATTAGCTTCAACGAAGGCTTGCTTTTGCTCCAAATTTTCTTCTAATTCAGATTCTACCACTTGATTACTTACTAACATATCATCATTAGAAATAGGATCTTGTTTCTTTACCCAATCATCTCTAACTTGCGGTTGCACGCCTTGTGTATCCAAACTGGTTGAAGGCTCTGGCCAATCGCTTTCTTTAGAAACTCGTGGACCCCAACCTTCTTGAGTTGTTGAAGATTGTGACCAACTATCATCATTAGAAGGTCGTGGGCCTTCATTAGGAACTCTTGGCCAACCCTCTTGAGCAGTTGAAGATTTTGACCAATTATCATCATTAGAAGGTCGTGGGCCTTCATTAGGAGCTCTTGGCCAACTCTCTTGAGCGGTTGAAGATTTTGACCAATTATCATCATTAGAAGGTCGTGGGCCTTCATTAGGAACTCTTGAACCCCAGCCCTCTTGAGCGGTTGAAGATTTTGACCAATTATCATTATTAGAAGGTGGTGGGCCTTCATTAGGAACTCTACCCCAACCTTCTTGAGTGGTTGAAGATTGTACCCAATTTTTATTATTAGAAGGTCGTGAACCCCAACCACTTTCATGATTTGATGATTTATCTGTTATCCATTTGTCATCAACGGGGGCAGATGGTCTTTCGAAATTCCAATTATCTGTATCAGGAATTGGTTCTTGTTTTGGTCCTCGAAAATCATTATTGGGCAATTCTCTCGTTCCTGAACTCTCTCCAGGCCATAAATTTCTAACTATGTTATGAGAGCTACTACTTGATTGATGCCAAGTTTTGTCATTCATTATTTTTTTACTGTAACCCAAGGAAAATGATTGTGGCGGAAACATGTACATTGCCCATAAAAAAGTTCAATCAGTCTTTTTTGTAATATGTATATAAAAAAAAAAACCGATAATTTTTCAAATTATTCATATTTTTAACCGACGTGATAATTCAATTATTTGATAAGTTCCACAATTTATATTTTTTTGAACAATTATTTTTACCCATACAATCTGACTTACCGTGTCTTTACAAATAACAATTCTTCAACGACTAAAGCCTTACGCGAATAATTCGGTTTTGAATTTACAAAATTTTTACTTTCGTTTATTAAAAAGCTCGCGTTACTTCTTTTAAATAGTTTGTGAAAGAACAGACAAAAAAAAAATCATTTATGTAACTGAATGCATTATAAATAGACGTTCTTAGTTTTAATTGGTTCCATTTGCAAATAAACTAAACTACTAAACTGGTTAAGAAACTAGCAATATATTCTGATCCCGCATTTGATATCAGAATTCCTTACTAATATGTAAATGTGTAGCCGAGATTTTTTTTTTTTTTTTTAAAAGGCGTTAATCAAAATATTGTGGCTTAATGAATTACGAAATACTGCGAGACTTTGTAAAATTACTTGTTCATTGCAAGAATTTTATGTTATTGCATAACTTCGATATTAGATAAAAGACGTTATATACTTGTGATTTTTGCGTTTGCACAAGTTGTGGGAATATTCGCACACATGCGTGAGATGATTTTATTTTTAATTAAATATATTTTATCTTTATTATCTCTTGAAACATAAATTTAATGATATCGATATATACGTATTTCCCAAAGATAGTAATTAATTTTTTGACTGGATGATACGTACGTATGAATCATAACTAAATATATATATCATATGATATATGCTATATATATTTATTATTTATTTATCGTTATGAAATCTTTTTATTACTTACTATATATTAACGTGAATAGAAACCCCTCTTTTTGAAATTTTTAAAGACCAATTGGAATTATTGTCTTCAATTCACCGTATAATAAAAATTTACAGTAGATATAAAATGTATATATATATGTATTTTATAAAAATTTTTAGATATGTATATATATATTATATATATACAGTATATACAGTATATATATATTTATTTTTTTTATACAAAATATATATATAGCTAGAGAATTTTAAACTAAAAAATTCTAAAAATTGTTAACAATTTATATACTATAATAATAAAATATATATCAGATATTTGATATAAATTATACGTACGTACGGTATAGATTACATACCTGATACGTATGTAACTATAATATTGGATTATATGTAGAAATCTAATACAGGATATATATATTATGTATGTAATAACGATAATAACAACGATAAATTAAAGATTCTCTGATGATAATAACTAATCAAACTTGAGAATTTGCATCCCGACAGTCCTTCGAACTAGGGATTGGAACCATCTAAAATTTTTCTTAACTGTTAGTCGTTTAGCCATATTAACCGCTTAATTCAGCTGGCACTAAAAATTGCCCTGGCCCATGATTAATAACATTGTAATTCGTCCCGGCACTAATATAAATTTTTTTTATACGATTAGATTAAACGGTGTCTGAATTGGATTGCTATGTGCATATGCGGATTTCGCAAATTTTACCTATAAATGTTTGTGTGTAACTAAATTTAGAACTCTTCCGATTTTAAAATAATACTTTTGTGTAGATTAGTAGATATATAGTAGATTATTTTACTGTATATATATATATATATATAAACTATTATAAAAAGGCCTAATGCCAAATTTTTTTTAAACTTTGAACAAAAATATCTTAACTATTTAACCAAATTTGATATAATTTTTTTATTTTTTATTTTTTATTTTTTTTTCTTACTTAGACAGTCTCACTAGTACTTTTATTAGATATATAGTAAAAATTTAAGAATTAATATATTGATCTAATTTAATAAGTCTAACATTACCCAAATATTCTGAAAATACCCAAATACAACCTGCCGCACTAATTTATTTAAATGACAAACTAGAAGATTATGTTAGAAAGCCTAAGTATTCTTTTCTTTAAATTCTTCCTTCTTCTCATAAAACTAAATGAAGAAAGGGATATATAAATAGACTATAATTATTTGATAGGGAAGTATAAAAGAGGAAAGAAAAAATGGGGAAAAATCTAAATAGAATAACAAGAAGACTAAGTAAAAAAAAAAAGAAAAAGAAAAAACAAAAAAAAAAGAAATAAAGGCTACTCTGACTGCTCTAATCCTAATTAAAAGAAAGAGTGAATCTTAAAAAACACTATTATAGCCTGTAAAAGGCTTGAAAAAATTATATAACAAATGCAACATCTGTATATCTCTACTGTAAAGCTTTGCCTTAACATATGAATTTCTTTCTAATTATATGACTATTTTTGGATATTCTTTTAACTGAAAGCCTAGATCTATCGAATCCACAACTTTCCCTGACGATCCTTCATACCAACTTCTCCAAAAAGGCTAACCTACGAAAACTATACAGTTAATATGTTTAAATACCACAAAACTTCACTAGTAGCAGCAGGGAACAATGGCTATTC